GCGCGGGGGGTTCTCCTGTGGCGGTGCAGGCTGCCGCGCGGGGAGCCCGGCCGGGCGGGCTGCAGTGCACGCCCTCCCTTCGCCTTCAGCCTAGCTCTAGGACTTCCTCACCCCTTCAGAAATTACAAGCGGGACCGTGTGAAGAGATGAGACCATCTTAAGCTCTCTACCCTTCCCGCCCATGGGGAGGCTCGGCCCTTTCTGTCAGAGCACCCCCGACGCTGGCTGCTGCCTGGCCGTTTGTCTACCGGGATGGCAGCTTCACTTCATGGACGTGCTGTTTATTTAGGTGCAATCCGAAGTAGGTAGGGCTAACACTGTTGTTTTAATTAACAAACATTTGGAAGAGGAGAAGCAGCATGAAGTACCAAGCAACTGTTTGTAACAGCTGTGTCGGTCTACTTCTGGCTTTTCCAAGGCGCTGCGTGATGCAAAACACAACATAAAACCGTAGCTTCAATGAACTGAAAGTCTTTTATACCTAACGGTGTCCTGCGCTGCTCATAAGCAGCTCATAAGCTTTCTGCTCCTCCCAGTTCATATCTAAGATTGTAAACACTCAGCTTCCAAGCCCTTGAAAGTTGTCACAAACATCTAAAAACATGAACCATGACTTTGGATTCCTGAATACTGTCAGCACCACAGTTTAATCAGAGTCAGCTGTTAACTAAAACGACAAACGCTAAAATACTTTATAGAGTTCAAAAGCACTGATAATTTATATATTGGATACATCACCACGAAAGAGCACAGGAAAATGAGAACCACAAAAAACCATGAAAGTCTACAGCACTTAATAAGCATTATGGAGAACACATCATTTTAGAATTACTAATGCACTGTATCCTAAGTTCCTGCAATAATTCGTTGGTTTTTCATTTTGTTTTCAAGTCAGCAGAATTTTTCGTATAAAAAGTTCTCTTGTTTAATAACAAACATGATCCAGGAAGCTAAAATACACAACAGTTAACCTAAAGGCTCAAAAGCCTGAGGACAAAGAACCAAATACAAGTTATTTCTGAAGCCAGTCTTGTGATTCTGTAAAGCTTCCAGGTAGAATGCTGCTACTCAGATAGCTGCACCTTGCGGGTTTCACTGGAGCAAGACACTCAATTTGACCCACTTATTTACCATCTCAGAGAAAAAAAAAACTATATGGGCATAATTCCCTTCTGACTACCACAGGTAATTTCTCTAATTCAAGACCAAGGAGAATTGCTCAAGCTGTAAGAATAAAGACAATGCAAGTCTCTGGCAGTTATCAGACCAGCAGCATTCAAGTCGTCTTAATTCACCTTAATGCAGACACCTCAGAACACTGTCCTTTCACTTAACGCATTTCCTGTAAATAAACCAAACCTCTCCTCTTTAATTCACAGCCTTTACCTTGTAAACTCCTTCAGCGGGGAGCAACAGATAGTCCTTGACATGTACAACCGTTCCTCTTGGCCTCCCAACTTCTAGACAGACTTAACTCTTATTACTTGTTTTTTCTACTACACACACTGTCATGTTTAACATGCATTTGGAAGCAAATATCCTATTTCTGTTCTTGCTAAGGTAAAATGAGGCCACCTGCTCATGTAAACTCCCATTTACCTTCTGCAGATATTAAAAGAAAAAAAAACTGTTCTCTTATTTATAAAATTCAACCTAAGACAAATTTCAATTTCATATATTTGCTAATTAGACACCGTGGTGGTTTTTTGTTAGGAACAAGTGGTCTTCACAACATTCCTATGACGTATTCTTTTAATTCCCATTTCACAGATTAGAAACGGACGTAAGTCAACAATTAGAGGCACGAAGCTATTCAGGAGTCAACGAACTTTTCCGCATCACAGCGCTCCACGGCGCCTACAAAACTCCCTTTCCTGGATGGGACACGCTAAAGCCCAGTGTTCTCTTGTGCCTTCCACAGTGCGGCCCCTTCTTAGTGTCAGTCTCCGAAAAAAAGTGGCTTGCTCTCCAGTGTTCATCAGTGCCGTTCCACCTGTGTGTCACCAGGAGCTGCTTGTAAGAGGAGGACTGGCATTCGCCCCTCCTCAATTATACCAAGATGAGCAAAATTAACTTTCCATATCCCAATTAGTTCTTATTATTACTTTGTTAACTAGGTTATTGCTACCATAGTAAGCCAGCCAGGATAGACGTGTTCAAAATAGGAAGCTAGCAATTCTACAGACACTGTCACTGTCTATAAATGGATTAATAAAATACAATCATTGTGGGATCAGGTTGTTCTTTTCAATGACTACACAGAAGATTCAGTAGCAAACCAGCATTTCCAAATGATGAAAATGGTCTTGCCTCCTGCAAAGCAACATACGCTAACTGGCTCATGTTAGACTGCAGAAACACTTCTCGAGAAACTAAACTTCCATAAGCTGACTGAATTTAGCCAATTTTTATCCCTACCTTTAAAAATCCAGTGCAAAGACCCTTACACACCTTGCTGCTACTAACACCAAATCTCCTTGTTCAAGAAATGTTTTATACATGATTTATACAAAGCTTGCATTAGACAATCTTCCATACAAGTTTACAGTCAATACAGAAAGACATTGAAATTCCACCACTTACATAGGGGTAATTTCACCCCAATAACTACCACAATCTAAATGATCTCATCCTTACTATCAGCCCAAGCATCAGTCACTCAGAAATACAGCTACAGGATGAAGCTTAAAAATTCACTTTTAAAGATTATAATATAAAGACAGTACTATTGAATGTGATGTGCAAAATCATTTGAAAATGATTAAAGTTAACAGAATTTATGTACTGTGCCGGGGCTTTAAACCAGTACATAGGATAAGTTTAAAATTTACAGAATTAAAATACCTGTCCTCCAACTACCAGCGGCAGAAAGCTAATCACAAAGTAACCGAATTATAATAATATAAACAAATAGAGCCTTGCTCTAAATGAGGTTGCTGACATACACCCTTTTAGCGAGAGCTCAATTACGATTTTACATGCAAAGACCATGCTTTTCGTACATTCTCAGCTGGATCACTTGGCAAATTCCCTTACAATGGCGCCTTAAAACCTGACCCGACCTACAGGCAGGCCACACATCTCATTAACGTATCAAAAGAAAGATAAGGGCTGAAGGTAAACGAAGGAGACAAAAACAATAGGGGAAGTCTGTTGTAAACGTGTGGGAGTTGATGAAGCACTAGAAGGTATTGCTGGGCGGTTCCACAGACAGATGTCGAAATTAAACACTGCACAGAGAAAGACAGGAAGCAAAACCACGACGTAGGACAGGTACTCCAAGGAAACAGGTCAATTTTGAAAGCTTATCAAAAGCAGGGGGTGGGAAATGCAGGCTAACATATGATTTTAGAGACTGCGTGCCTGGGAATTTTTACGCTTATCTTCGGCCGGCCAGTGCAATTTGCTAGACATAAGCACGCTGACCTGCTGCTGCAGAGGGTAACATGAGTTCGGTGTGCAAGTGAACGCTATGGCAAGCACAGTTACTTAAGCGTGAAACTAGCTGTTGGCTTTCTCTTTGTCTCTTTTTAAAACTCTTAAGAAAGCAGCTCTTTAATATTAAACATGAAAATACAGGATGACCTTCAGAACGGCTATTACAACAGGCAACTACTCCCACTGTCCCTCCCCCCAGCATCTGATCCATCACACTCTAAATGCGATTATTCCTACGGAAACCCCCAAGTAAGAAAATTCACAACGCCAAGTTGTCATACGTGTTCTGTTGATACAAAGAGCAAGCGTGAGTATTTTCCACTGTACAATCGCTGTTAAATTGTATTTAACTTCACATTTTAGTGACTGACTGGAAAGAATTCCCATTCTAACGAATCGATTACAGGGAAAGAATGTTAATTAAGCTGTCTCATGTACCTGAAGGTGACTTAAAAGATCTTTTTCATTTCCAAACCTCATTAAGCAATCGGTACATTTATGAGGTAAATCGGCTGAATGCCTAAAATCCAAATGAGTTTTAAGATCTTCAATCTGTCCTGTTGAATATTCACAGTATTGACACAAATAAATCCCTTCAGATAAGTGAGAGCTTAAATGCTTGCAATATTCCAACATACCTGAAAAGCCCTTCCCACAGTCATCACAAACATGAGGGAATATTTTGGTGTGTTCAATAGCTACATGCCTGTTGACGTTTGTATGCAGCCTGCTCCTAAAGCCACACACTTGGCACACAAAGAAGTTTTTGCACTTGTCAAAGCTGATTTTGTTTATGAGACTATACTGTCCACGTTCTTTATTGTTATAGCTGTCGCTTAACTCTATCAGTCGACATGCATGTTCATTCACCACGTGGCTATGCAAATCTTCTGGATCATTTGTTTCATGCTCACAGAACTGACACAAATACTGCTCGTCACAGCTGTGCTCCTGGAAGTGCAGGTACAACTCACTGCTCGAGGAGAACTGCATATCACACTGCTCACACCAATAAAGGTGGTCATTGAAGTGAGTGTCTGCTATGTGCTGACTTAGATTCTCAAAGATTACTGTTTTGTAATCACAATATTTACAGATGTATGGATCCTCCTCGTGTAGTTTCACGTGTTCAATAAGCTGCAATTTGCTGGAGAAACTCTCCTTACAAACTTTACAGACAGGAGTGTCTGTACACGTTTTATGCTTCAGGATCATGTGCTGCTTTAAATCAGAAAAGTACTTGCTATTAAACTCACAGAGCTCACACTTATATAAACCACTGCTGTTGGCTCTCAGCAAAGGCCATTTCTGCTGAGCTGTGATATTCAAAGCCTGGTTCTTCTCAAAGATTTTACAGGTTTCAACAGGGATTTCCTCTAGGTCCTCAGCTTCTAGCTTCTCAGGTGAAACAGTTTGCGTTTCTATATCGTGAACTTCTACAGCATTAACCTCTGTTGTAGAAATTTCTACAGTTTGAATATCAAGGGGTTTCTCTTCTTCTGTAGGGCTGTCACTGAATATAGGCGAATCGCATATATCCTTGCACATTCCATTATTAGCAGCTTTTTCTGAAAGAGGAAGTAGATAAAAGCAAAAGATTAAAAAAAACGCTGCAAAACACCTGGGTCCATATTTAACTTCTCAACTAGTTGTATCAGCTTACAAGTGCAAAAAACAGTTATTTTTCACTGGACAGAGTAAGCTTTGTGTTCAACGAGCAAATCACGTGAACTCTGAATCCTTCATCTCTTCCATCAAAGCAAAAAAGGAAAACGTAACTACATTGAAAGTCAACATCTATATTCTCCAGCTTCCCAGAAGCCAAGCAGGGGCTGCTCCTGAAAATACGCATCTACATTTACCTTTCTCTTTCTTTTTGGGGTCTGTATAGTGCATCCCCACAACATTTGAATGCGATCCACTCCACTGAGAAGTCCCAGCATGCACTGGACTCCCATCATCATCAGTATCTAGACTTTGCGCAGGACTGTGGAATCTGCCTATAAAGATAAGATAGGGATTTTTCTTGTCCTTATTCATCCGTTCTATCACTATCATTTCTTTAATTTAACCCTAGATCTGATTTACCACATACACCAGTTGCATAAATTTATATACTAAAGAGCATCACAACCTACATTACAGAAAGTAACAACATGTAGCTCAGAAATTCCTTCCATGCATACAGAAGTCAACAACAACTAAAAAAAAACACCAAAAGGTAGCAACTGTCTCTATAATTTTACCAAAAAACAGTCTGTTGATTATACGGGAAAAAAAGTTAAAAGCCTTAAACGAAACTTGAAAGTTTGAAAGTGGCAGAACATGTAAATATTTCTCCTCTCAAACCTTTCCTGGTCATCATATTTTCCAAGTTTAAAGCTTTGTAAGACTTCTGGAGACCTGTTGCTAGTTCTATTAGAGCGAAAGAAAAAAGAATAAAAATTCATCCTTGTATTTGCTCAGTCCAGTATGCTGAACTTGAGAACAACTACTGGATGCTGTATAAAAAAGGTGCTCTGTTTTCCTTGAGTACGTTTTAATGAAATTGCTGGTATATTTAATTTGAACTCTTGGTTCAGTCACCTCAGCTTGACATTACTCAGCTGACATTTGACGTCTAACAGTCATTCTACAAATTGTAAAACTGAAAGACCTTTTTGTTGTTTTTTTTTTTTTTTTAAACTTTGAACATTTTATTTCAGTTATAATGATTAAACAACCTTCCAGCAGTCTAAGGCATATCAGGTCAGACTGATGCTCAGAAGTCACCTGCTGCACGTTTTGTACTCTTTTCTGAACAGCAGTCGGCACTTAGTAAAGGACTGTACCAAGACCCCAAAAATGCAACTCTTACCTCTGTTATCAGAAAACTTGATATCTGGCTGTTTCATAGAACAGACGCTGTAACAGTGGTCAGAAAAAATTCCACTATTGTCTATGTATTTGCTTACACCTGAAGAATCTAGGTACAAAAAAATAAGAGAGTTTTTATTCCAGCAAATTGATGCAGCTGCATAGCATATTTAACGTTCACCAAAATTCTCCTCACTAGCCACGTTTTTACTTCTCATACTGTGAGAATGCGTGAGAACTCTGTGCTGGCCAGATAACAATCCTATAATGACCTACAACTTCCAGTTGCTGCCCTGATGTTCAAGCTATCAGATATAGTCCTTATCAGCCAAACTCTGCTCCTACTAAAGACAGTAACAGGAGCACAGGTAGTTCGGTGCTGAACGTTTTTCACATCCCCTTCAAACTTCCATTAAACTCCTCCCAGCACCTGTTAGTAGAATCATCTTCATTTTGTAGCTTGAGCAAGTTTTCCAACTCGCAGGGAGTACAGAACAAAATTGACCAAAAGTGACTTTACCCCTGAGCGCTCAGAGAGGGTACTCTATACATTCAGGCCAAGACATCTTATCCCACCCTTTATGTAGCTGGTTTTCCACACAGTAGTGCATGCAAACCTTTCTCACAGCAAAGTAACGATTTTGAGGAAAATTCAACTTATTAAAACGTGCGTAATTCAAGCTCCAGACCAACCTGAATATCGAGAAGGATGTAGAGTCTTCCTTTTCCTCTTTTTAGGATGTTCGTTCATTTTGAATCGGTCTAAACCAATTAAAAAGTGAAAACATTCAATAATCGGTTAGACTTGTTTACAGCTGCTTTATCCTTCGTGACTTTAGGAAGCAATACAAACTCTTAACGCTACACAACGGGTTTTTTTCTACTCCCCTGTCCCCCCCCACAGCCAATTTTGTTACAGTGCTAAAAACACACTAAGTGCACACAAGTACTGAATTCTAATTTCATGTTCCTGACTTAGAACAGAAGAGCAGTGAGAATCACCCATAACCACAGCCAAGTCAGTCCTCTAGTCACTCAAGCAGGACCAACGAAGTAGTTTTCCTGCGGCCCACTGCCCTTTGCTAGGGATCACCCAAAAGCTCTTTTCTGAAGCAGCGAGCTTCAGACAAAATGTTAATGTTAAAAACACTAATATAAGTCATGCCACCATCTTACCAAAATCCCTAGGCTCTTCTGTATCAGCAAGAGGAAGAGCAGCTAAGAAGCTGATGCCTGTACAGCTTCCAACCGCAGTGAAAACATCAGCGTGAGAGGATCTTCAACTGTGGAGCTGCAGCATTTTAAAATGCTTTAAACCTTGAGTGTAAAATAAAAAACAACCATACTAGAATCAGGAACAGAAATATTACAGGCACTACAGCTATGGAAACCTGAGGCCAAAAAAATAGCAGAAGAAACTGATATTAGTTTTGTTTTAGAGCACCACAGATCATAAGGCAAGTGCATGGGAATACTTATTTTCATTTTGTCCTAGGTTAACGGGCTCTTGCAGCACTTGGTAGCTCCTCACAACGGAAACAGATAGATGGAGACAACACCAAAAATACTTAGGCTATGTATTGGCCCAGATGGCTGTGAAGAAAGGGCTGAAAGCGCCAAACCGATGTGGCCGACCGTAAGAGCAGGGCACCGATGGGACCCAGGCTCTCGCAAAGCTAACGCTATCCACCTGCACTGGAAGCCGGAAAAAGGCGTTCGCCTCAAACAAAAGCCATTCTCACGAGACAAAATAACTTGCTTACACCATAATTTGACTTTATTGGGAGAGTAACGCGGAAAACCACTTTTGCGATAGCATAGCACAATTCAGAAATATTAAACAGCCCCTTCGCATTTTTTGCTTGCAAGGAAACAACCCCGTTAACACACTGAGACAGCAACTTCCACGCCACTTAACGCAGCTCAACCTTCTTACCCGTGAACCGGGCCAAAGCATCCATCACGCTCGTTATTATTCCGCTACAGCAACGCCTTTTACCAGGCAGTCTTCCCAAAGCCTGCGGGTCGCGGCAAGGTCTTGGCAAACGCTGGCAGAAGCCCAGGCGAGGCCTGGCCGGCGGTGGGGGGCCCGGCCCGGCCCGCGCTCTC